TCTTTCATTCATTCTTTCTTTCTTTCTCTCTCTCTCTTTCTCTCTTTCTTTCTTTCTTTCTTTCTCTTTCTTTCTTTCTTTCTTTCTTTCTTTCTTTCTTTCTTTCTTTCTTTCTTTCTTTCTCTTTCCTTCCTTCCTTCCTTCTCTCCTCTCCTTCTCTCCTTCTTTCCCTTTCCCTTATAATTTCCTTCTCTCCCTCTTTCTTTCCCTCCTCCTCCTTCTTTCCTTCTTTTTTCCCTCCCTCCATCCTTCCTGCACAGATCTGCGTGTCCCCCGCCCCCAGCTAGCAACCCAAAACAGTCCAGTGGCACCTTTCAGGCCAAGGTTTATTCAGGTACAAGCTCTCCGTTCTCTGCTAGGGCAGAACTGCGCATTCCCCTCCCCCCAATAGCTAGCAATCCCCCTCAAATTCCAGTAACTATATTGCAATAGGTTATTTGAAAAGGGTTAGCACTACTGTGGGGTTTTTTTTTCTTATTGGGCTTTTAGAAGCTTCATAAGGACCTTTTAGAAGCTTCATAAGGACCTTTTAGCTACAGTTAACTTTTATTAACAGGGACATTCCTTCTGGTTTATCATCCACAGAGCTCAGGGCAGCAGCCTTGACTTCGCAGAGGGAACTGGGAGCCTCCGTGAAGCCCTGGATTCTCTGCTCTTTCTCTACATAAACTTGTTTTATGTTTTCTTTGCAGAACTGGATGGGAAAGGCAAAGTGCTGTGCGTGTCAAAAGGGATAGGGAAGTTGATTCTCCTGCTGGGGCTCCTCTACTTTTTTGTCTGCTCCTTGGATGTACTCAGCTCAGCCTTCCAGTTAGTAGGAGGTACGCAAACGACTACAAGAACAAAAGAGATTATTAGGTGGCGTTTCATGACTTTTGATTCCGTAAAATGGATCCTATTGAGTTAAACATCACACCTCAAAAGGACTCACTGAAGATAAATAACTTCCCCCCCACCTCCTTTATTTTTTTTGCCTAGAGGTTTTTGGTTCCCAGAATTTCAAAACGGTGTTGTCTTTAGAGATTAGCAGTCCCATTTGATTTTAGAAGCTTCCTTTTATTTTGGTTGCCAGTCGTGCATGGCAAACATGCCTCTGTTGGGCATTCCAGTGCATTACTCACTGGAAGCGAAGACAATAGAGTGTCCTATGGCCCCGTAAACATTTACCAAAGGTATTGTCACATGAGATTTTGTAGGTTAAAGCTTACCTCCCTTGATGTATTAAGTGGGAAGTGGTGATGACTGGGGTGTGTGTATGTTTCTTTTTATATGTGTACATGTGATAGGATGGTGGTCCGCAGATGTTCTAGCTTTTAATCTTTCTTGTAAAACAGTTTCCCACCCTACCAGCCTGATGTGTACTTCTGGTCAGGACCAGAAAATTGCTGAACATTTTATTTATTTATTTATTTATTTTATTTATTTTATTTTTATCCCGCCCTCCCCGCTGAAGCAGGCTCCGGGCGGCTTACATAATATTATAACAACATAAAACAGTTAAATTAATAACAATGGCAATAAAATAGATTTAAACCATACGTAGAGTGCTAGCACAATATAACGACGGCGGGTGTCCGACAGTCAGCTGGCACCATGGTCTGGGTCGTATCGGCGGAGCACAGGCTATTCAGTTGGTAAAATATTGATGTTAATGTTGAAGTAGGCTTCCCAAGTCCCCCTGGGGGGCGGGGAAACCCCCGCCCCAGAGGCCCGTTTCTTGCCCTCGCCGGATCGGGCCCCGGGGGGAACTCCACCCCAACGTGCATGTCACCAGGAAGTGAAATTCAATGTTTTCCCCTCGGATGGTCGTGGCCCCGCCCCCAGCGTGCCCGGTGTGGTCACGTCACTTCCTGGTTATGTGGATGCGGTGCGCGCGCACTCCAGGATCAACACGGGAGTCCCCCGCTTCAGGATAAGGTACGACTTGGCAACCCTACGTTGAAGTAATATTGTTAATATAGGGGCCAGGGCCACAGGTAGATGGGTGCGGCTCCCTAATCGAAGGCCTGGTGGAAGAGCTCGGTTTTACAGGCCCCGCGGAACTGCAAAAGGTCCCCCAGGGCCCTGATGTCTTCCAGGAGCTCGTTCCACCAGTATGGAGCCGCCACTGAGAAGGCCCTGGCCCTTGTCACCACTAGCCTGGCTTCTCTGGGGCCTGGAAGAGCGAAGCGATTTTGGGACCCCAATCATAGTGCTTTCTGGGTAACATGTGGGGAAAGGTGGTCCCTTAGGTAGGTAGGCCCCTATTGGCATTTAGGGTAGTTCTTACTATTTTGCAAGTAGATAAATAGGTACCACTTCGGTGGGGAGGTAACAGCGTTCTGTGCACCTTGGTGTTTAGTCATGCCGGCCACATGACCACGGAAACGTCTTCGGACAGCGCTGGCTCTTCGGCTTTGAAACGGAGATGAGCACCGCAACCCTAGAGTCGGATTCGACTGGCTTTCGAGCAAGGGAACCTTTACCTTTACCTTTACTATTTTCACAGGCCCGCAGGGGCACCGTCAGGGAATTGCAACATTTGCTAATACGTCTCAAAACGCAGTGAAAACTAGAAATACAGATGTGAAAGTGACCTCAAGGGTCATCTAGGCCAACATCTTGCACAATGCAGGGAATTCACAGCTAGCTGCCCCCCCCGACTCCCTCAGTGACCCCTCCTCTATGCCCAGAAAAAGGCCAAAACAACAACAACAACCCTTCAAGATCCCTGGACCAATCTGGCCTGGAGGAAAATTCCTTCCTGACCCTACAGTGGCAACCAGCATTACCCGGGGCATGTAAGAAAGGGCCACGAGAGCCGGCCACTAGCTCCTCCCTTCCTGCCCTCCCTCTCATGATCTGCCTCAGTTCACAGAATCAGCATTGCTGTCAGAGGACCACGGAGCCTCTGCTTGAAAACCTCCAAAACCTCCCAAGGAAGCCTGTTCCACTGAGGAACGGCTCTGTGGTGCCAGCAATAAATCTCGTAATGTCATCTGGTCTTTTCCTGGTTAATTTTTTTTTACAATGTCCTGACTATAAATGTCAAACACAAGCTTCATGAGACAAACGTCTCTGGCTTTTCCTGCTTGGCTTCCTAAATATTAGCCCATCTCAGTGTTCATCAAGTTCCCCTCCCCGCCTCTTGCATGGGTACAGCGATCAGCTGACAGAAGAGCAGGGTTACCTACATCCAGGTAGCTCCTGCTACTACAGTTGATCTCCAGCTGACCGAGATCAGCTCCCCTGGAGAAAATGGCTGATTTGGAGGGTGGGATCTATGGCACTGTAGCCTTCTGTGGTCCCTCCCCCTCCCTGAACCCCACCTTCCCCAGGTGTCCCCCCCCCCCAGTCTTCAGATATTTCCCACCCCAGAGCTGGCAATCCTAAAGAAGAAGAAAAGGAGGAGGAGGAGGAGATTGGTTACAGTACGATTGCCAACTCCAGGTTAGGAAATTCCTGGAGATTTGGGAGTGGAGCCTGCGGAGGGTGTGGTTCCAGGAGGGGAGGGACCTCCGCTGGCTCTAATGGCATCGAGTCCACCTGCCACAGAAGTCGTGTCCTTCAGGGGAGCTGATCTCTGCAGTCTGGAGAGAAGTTGTAATTCTGGGAGATCTCCAGGCCCCACCTGGAGGGTGGCAGCCCTTAGTTGCTCTATCGTCCCGATCCGCATTTAGCCTGCATTTCTTACAAACCGGGCTAGCTCACACGTTACAGTGGCCTGCCATGTGACCTGTAGTGTTGCATTAAGCAGGCCTGGTATTACATAGAACAGCATGGAAGAATGCCCACATTTTAGTGTTGATGCTGAAGATGCTTGTTCAGTCTACTCACTAATGGTGAATCAAGAAGAAGAAGAGACTGGATTTATACCCCGCCCTTTACTACCCGAAGGAGTCTCAGAGCAGTTTACAGTCTTCTTTCCCTTCGCCTCCACACAACAGACACCCAGGTAGGTGGGGCTGAAAGAGCTCTCTTGAGAACTGCCCTTGAGAGAACAGCTCTGAGAGTACTTGGGACTGACCGAAGGTCACACCAGCAGCTGCAAGTGGAGGAATGGGGAATCAAACCCGGTTCCCCCAGATTAGAGTCCACACCCTTAACCCAACTGGCAGATAGGAGTGATTTTGCTCCCTCCTCGCGGTGGCTTCCAAATCTGCATGGCTGCACATGGGTTCATGTGCAGCCATGCAGATCTCAGAAATAAATTTTCCCAGAGTCAGAAATGGCTGCCAGGGAGCAGGGAGAGACTGGAAGACTGGGGATCCCAGCGTGAACCTTGCAGTTTCCTTGTGCTGGACCTAACCTTTTAGAAAGGAATGCATTGCAATAAAGACACTTGATAGACAGACTGATCCACGGTCTCCACCAATTCCCATATAAACACTTGCCTTTGAAAACTGATTGTGTTAGTGCCAAGCAAGTCAAAAGGGTCAAGCTCCTGGTTTTCATTATGCAGGACAGATGCCACGGAAAGCCATTCGACTTGGCAGATCTGCCATTGTGATTGTCACCAGTATCCCTAGTTATTCATTGTCCCCGAACTATTATTTTTTAACCTTGCCACGAAGATTCATTAACAAGCAGTGAAAATTGGTTGACTTTGTTACCTCTTGACTAAGTCCTTTTGATGTCTGAAAAGTGTGGTTTGCAAGTAAAGGTGAAACCCCCCCCCACACACACACACTGACTATGAAACCATTTCTCCTGTGATCATTGAGCCCACGGCTGTTGTATTTTGGGTCCTGTTTTCCCAACACACATTTACGGTATGCAGGGGTCTTGTTGTAGAAAAAGAGCTGCCGGAGCTCATTAGCATAACTCATTAGCATAACTTATTTGCATATGCCACGCCCCCTGACATCACCGGAAGTGACAGAAGGCCACACCCCCTGACATCACCGGAAGTGTGTCAGAAGGCCCGGCTACTTACCCTCCTGCTTCATCCTCATTCCCAAACGGAATGAGGATCGAAGCAGAGGGCGGGGTAAAGAAGGGGGCGGGGCTTCACCACGTGACCGCCCCGCCCCCTAGAGGTTCTCTTCCGGAGCTCCGTACCTGAGAGCTCCCCCCCGACTAGAGCCCTGACGGTATGTATTTATCAGATGCAATACCTTGCCTTGCATCCAAGGTGCTCAGGGCAGCATGCAGGATATTACCCCCATTTTATCCTCACGACAGCCCTCTAAGGTGAAATTCAACAAATGCAATGCACCTATTGGTTGCAAGTTACTAGGGTTGCCAGGTCTGTGTTGGAAGATACCTGGAGACTTTGGGGGTGGATTTGGAAGAGGGCGGGGTTTGGGGAGGGGAGGGGCCTCAGCATGGTGCAATGCCATAGAGTCCACCCTTCAAAGCAGCCATTTCCTCCAGGGGAGCTGACCTCTGTCAGCTGGAGATCAGTTGTAAAAGTGGGAGATCTCCAGGCCCCACCTGGAGTCTGGCAAGCCTACCCAGTGGCTTTAATATTGATGGTTGATTAATCAGAAGTCTGATAACCCTCCATCTGCTGCCGTCGGCTCCCTGCCTTGCTTAACGCCATATGAATAGCCCCTGCCCCACACCAATCAAGCTTTTCATACATGCATAAACCTATTTCAGATATATGCCTGTGCACAGCGAAAGCTTGCTCTTGTCTGTTGTGGCTGTGCCAATCCTGCCGGCCTCCTCAGGGCTGGCATCAGCATACCCTGATGTGTGGTGGCAGCCAGGGCCCAGGAAGGATTTTAGGAAGGATGTTGACAAGCTCGAGCGTGTCCGGAAGAGGGCAACCAGGATGGCGAGAGGGCTGGAATCCAAGTCTTATGAGGAAAGGCTGAAAGAGTTGGGTATGTTTAGCCTGGGAAAGAGAAGGCTTAGAGGGGACATGATTGCAGTCTTCAAGTATTTGAAGGGCTGTCATGTAGAAGATGGAGCAGATCTATTTTCTCTTGCTCCGGATTGCAAGACTAGGTCTAATGGGTGGAAATTACAAGGGAGTCAATGCCGGCTAAATATCAGGAGAAACTTCCTGACCGTAAGAGTGGTTGAGCAATGGAACAGCCTGCCTCGGGAGGTGGTGGATGCTCCTTCGCTGGATGTTTTCAAGGGGAGGCTGGACGACCATCTTTCGGGTATGTTGTAGGGCTATCTTTCGGCTATGCTGCTGCAGAGTGCAGGGGGTTGGACTAGATGACCTGCAAGGTCCCTTCCAACTCTAACATTCTATGTTTCTATGACTACCAGCGGGGCCCATTGCTGCTGACTCCCACCCATGCACCTCCTTTCCCACCTGTTCGGACCTGCACTCCCAGTCATTGAGGAAGGGGGTGTGAGTGGCTCACCAGGACGGCACTCCTGGTGGCCATGGGAACAGCCCTTCCAGCAGCATCCACTGGCCCGTGGTGTTGGGGAAAGGGTGTGCAGGTGGCACAGGCTTGAAATCAGGAGAAAGGTGCACGGGGAGATGGGGGGGCATGCAGATGTGACGGTGGAAGGAGGGAACGAGGGAGGCCAGAGGTCCACGCAGACCGCTCCCCACCCCCCACCGAAACCTGGAACCAGCCCTGTGCCTGCTCATTGCAAGGGAGCCATCCCATTCAGGATTTTCAGACAGTTACCCTGCACTCAATGTGATATGAACAAGCTCTGGCTTCTTTTTCATCCACAGCTGCAGCTTATTACTCTGTTTACTGCCAGCCTTTCTTGAGGCTAGGTCCTTGAAGTTTTTACTTCCTAGAAAGTTTGAGTTTCTGCGTTACATTGGATTTCCAGGTGTGGTTTTTTTTTTAATGTCCCATATGTACAGCATATAACTTCTCTGTGGTCTCTGTGCATCACACTGATGGGTCAGGAATGCACCCCCCCCCCCACAGAGCCGCGTTGTGCCTTCCTTCCACTGACAAGTAGGCCTAGTGTTAGCCAAATTGCTCTATTTCTTAATAATAGATTGGGGAATTATGATGTTATTGAGCAATTGGCACGACTATAGGATCAGACCTGTGTATACCAGAGTTAGAATTCCCAAGAACCCAGGAGCAGGCACGGAGGCTGGGTGGCTACAATAAGGACTTCTTTACTAAATATTCTCAAGCATGCAAACAATAATCAAACATTCACACAGACAATACAGCACTAAGGAAGCAGAGGTGATACGATTGCTAAACATTTGAATGACTGATTGGTTTATCCCGGTATCCTGAGGGACAGAGCAGGAAAGACAAGTATTCAGACAAAGAATTACTGGAGACAGGGTTATTCGCCAGGTGGCCTCTGAATAGACTTTAAAGGTAAAGGTTCCCTTGCTCGAAAGCCAGTCAAATCCGACTCTAGGGTTGCGGTGCTCATCTCTGTTTCAAAGCCGAAGACGTTTCCGTGGTCATGTGGCCGGCATGACTAAACACCAAGGCGCTGTTTCCTTCCCACCGAAGTGGTACCTATTTATCTGCTTGCAATTTCTTGCTTTCGAACTACTAGGTTGGCAGGACTGGAACTAGAGACGGGAGCTCACTCCGTCATGCGGTACACTCGGGTCTCGAACTGCTGAACTACTGACCTTCCACAGCCTGCAGTTCAGCGTCTTAACCACTTGAGCCACCGCAGCTTTAGAAATGTAGATACTTCACCTGGTGGAACTCACTGTCATTCCATATGCATATCTTTGCTGGATGGAGGGGAAAGACTGGAAGTTTGCTCTGAGGTTGCCTTATTGTCACCTGAACATGAAATCCCTTTTTGCAGAGTACTTGCAGTCTGACTCAAGAAACAGGATCACGAAACCGCGGGGAAAATCGGGCGAAGCCGCGGGTCAAAATGCGGCCGCGTGGCTTCAAGTGGGAAATGGACCAATAGAAGCGGGGCAAAGGGAGGCGCAACTGCAACGCAGCTCTTGTGTGAAATCGGTCTGAGAGTGCTTGACTTTTGGGGGTTTTGGTTCAGGTTAGAAAGTGGGGCGCCCCTGCTTTGGGGCTACCCAAGAGTAAAGGCAGCGCCTCTGGCAACACTAGAGAAGCTAGAGTACCCATCAAGGTCAATGCATCGAAGACCACTCAGGTAACGGCAGTTACACAGGTGTACAGCCTGTTTTCCCACAAGTCATTGAGATCTACACGCTTGTCACCGTCTAGCAAAGTGGCATGAAGTCAGCAGCTTTAGTCCCTGGGTAACTGCAACAGCACCACTCAGTCAGTTCCTCGCCCTTGGAGGCCCCATAAGCATCAAGCCTGCTTCCGTCTGCACAGCCATATCCTGGGTTCTGCTTCCTCGCACTGTAGTCCCTTTTTCAGATGTTACAATTGCACATACCAGGAGCCTCTGCAAGAGCACACGCAACACACAATCCTCCTGATACACACTGGTCACCATGCTGTGTGATAAGAAAAGCCTTGCTGGATCAGACCAAGGGTCCATCTAGTGCAATGTCCTGTCTCACACAGTGGCCATCCAGTTCCTCTGGACAGCCAACAACAGAGCATAAACACCGAGGCCTTCCCCTGATGTTGCCTCCTGGCTCTGGGATTCAGACAATTAGTGCCTCTGAATGTGGAGGTTCCCCTCAGCCACCATGGCTAGTAGCCATTGATAGACTTATCCTCCATGAATCTATCTAATCCCCTTTTAAAACTGTCTGTTCTTGTGGCCATCACGACATCGTCTGGCAGCAAATTCCCCATTTTGATCACTCTCTGTGTAAAGTAGTATTTCCTTTTCTCCATCCTGAACCTACTGCCCATCAGCTTCATTGGATGTCCTTGAGTTCTAGTATTTTGGGAGAGGAGGAAAAATGTCTCTTTGTCAACTCTTTGTCAGCTCTCTCCACCCCAGGGGCCAATGTGATGAACAGGGGCAATGTGTGTATGTATGTACAATACATACTGTACATGTATGTACAATACATACTGGGTCAATGTGAACCCAAATCCTGCAAACCCAGTGGTCAGTTCAAGAATCATCAGAGCTATACATGGATGTTAAATAAGCACGTCGGTTCTGTCCACACAAATCGGGGACCATGTATAGGCTTCCAGTACACACAACTGTAACAACATGCTCTCTACATGGGGCTGTCCTTATCGCAAATTTGGAAGCTACAGCTGGTGCAAAATGCTGCAGCCAGGCTCTTAATGGGCCTCTCAATACAGGAGCCCATTCAGCCTGTGCTGAAGACATTGCACTGGCTACCGACAGCATACCGAATTCGCTTTAAGGTGCTGGCTCTTACCTTTAAAGCCCTTTATGGTCGGGGACCTACATAACTGAGGGACCGCCTTTCCCCACATGTTCCCCAGAGAGCACTACGATCAGGGTCTCAACACCGACTGACCCTTCCCTGACCAAAGGATGCCAGGCTAGCTACAACCAGGGCCAGGGCTTTCTCAGTGGCGGCCCCGCTCTGGTGGAAAGAGCTCCCGGAGGAGATCAAGGCCCTGCAGGACCTTATGCAGTTCCGCAGGGCCTGCAAGACGGAGCTCTTCCGCCAGGCGTTCAATTAGGAGCCGCCCCAGGGGTAAAAACCTGTCCCCTATAGTCTTCAAAGCAGCCAGAGCCAGCCACACAATATTAGATTGGGGTCGACCACTAGGATGGCACTGAAGTTTGAGCGTCTTCTCAAATGTAATGTTAAATTGTTACCTGGTTCATGGCATCTGGATGATCATCTGTTAGCACCTTTCAATGTTGACATTGTTTATATGGTATTATGACCATTGATATTGTTTATTGCTGTTTTTATTCGTATGTAAGCCGCCCTGAGCCAGCTGTGGATGGGAGGGCGGGGGATCAGTTTAATAAATAAATAAACATCTGAAAGGGGAAGACCGTAACAAGAGTGACGTGGGAAATTCGGAACTGGCTTTTACTGACATTATTGTCTTATACTTATAGAGGCATTCTCTTTTCATAGGTAAAGCCGCAGGAGACATTTTCAAAGATGGTTCCGTGTTGTCCAACCCTGTCGCAGGACTCGTGATTGGCGTTCTGGTGACCGTCATGGTCCAGAGCTCTAGCACCTCCTCCTCCATCATCGTCAGTATGGTGGCCTCTTCCCGTAAGTTAGTCCTACAAGGGGGGTCGTGAACTACGGCTGCCAACTCCTACCTGGCTGCCAGAGGGGGGATTCCCGATCCTTCCTGTAGTGCTTCTGGTGTGCGCGTGAAGTGCGCATGCCATATTGACATCACCTGGAAGTGACGTCATCGCATTTCCAACACTGGGGGCGACACTCTAGGTTTTGGGCAAAACTCTATGGTTTTGGAGGCCTCAAAACCATAGAGTTTTGCCCAAAACCTAGAGTGTCGCCCCCAGTGTTGGAAATGCAATGATGTCACTCCCGGGTGATGTCATTGTGCTGCCACCAGTGGCGCTGGCAGGGGGCTTCTCGGGGGTGGGGCTTCTGGTGTATGAGGAATCGTGCCCCAATCTGGCTTACTCCATTCCAGTGCCGGGACAAACAATACTTGGTGGAATTCTAAAACAATCTAGTTAGGCTGTGTCTTCCTTTAAAAAAAAAAAAAAAATTTATTTATGATTTTTACATTACAAAAGAGAAAAACAAAATTGCAGTATATAAATAAAACTTTGGAATTTAAATTAAACATTATTTCTAAACCATTTGTTAACTTTGTACCATCTTTTTTGGAAAGCTTTTTCATCTTTTCCTAAAAGTATCATATTCAATTTATCCATTTCGGCCACATCACAAGTTTTTATGATCAACGCTTCTCTAGTAGATAAGCTATCGGTTTCCCAACATTTAGCAACCAGTATTCTGGATGCAGTAAGGGTATATGATAAGATACATACATCATCACATCTAAACCCATCTGGTATTATATTAAGCAAGTAAATTTCTGGTAACAATTGTAGCTCTATGTCCATAATCTCTGTTATTAACGGTTTAACATTAGGCTGTGTCTTCCTGAAGGAAGTTACCTTGCATGCTAAACCCAGGAGTGGACAACAGCCCGTTTGACTTACAGGGAAAGTCCCTGGTGGGCCACTGCCCTGGCAGGTTGCCGGCAGGAAGGAGCACCCAGAGCCAAGCGCCCGTAATTTTGCTAATGCAGTAGCTCAGCTGATTGGTGGAGCTCAGGGTTGCCAGGTCCTCCCCCCCCCAGCCCCAGTGGTAGGGGTCATAGCGTTGCCAGCTCCAGGTTGCGAAAGTCCAGAAGATCTGGGAACAGAGCCTGGCTTGTTCTCGGTTCGTTTTTGCTTCCAAGTCCACCCAGGTCTACATCCCAATCCCAGGGAATAGCCTGAGGTTCGTAAAGCCATTCAGAGCATTTTGTTCCAGCATCCTCCACCTTTCTTACTCCTGTTGACGGTTTCTTCTTTTGCAGTACTGAGCGTTCCACTCGCAATTCCAATCATCATGGGAGCCAATATTGGAACCTCGGTCACCAACACTATTGTGGCGCTCATGCAAGCCGGAGATCGGAATGAATTTAGAAGGTACCATTGCTTTAATTGGAAACCGTGGAAAGAAAAAAGACTAGCAGGAATAATGGACCACTATAGAAATAAAAAGAGAACCGATATCCCAAAGAAGTCTGTATAGAGACTGTCCATGATAATACTTATGTAGAAGAGTGTGTTGCATCAATTCACAAAGGGCTAACAATCCATATAATCACAGATTTCTAAAAAAAATCCCAGGACTCGATGTAAACACAGAAATAAATAACATAGGTATAGTCAGGGGTCATTTCGTAGAAAAAGAGGTGCAGGAGCTCATTAGCATAACTTATTAGCGTAACTTATTTGCATATGCCACACCCCTGACATCACCGTGTGTCAGAAGGCCACACCCACCGCTCAGGCTCCACTGGACTGTTTTGGATTGCTAGCTATGGGGGGGGGAATGTGCAGAGGAGGGAGAGCTTGTACCTGAAGGTGGTCGGGGGGGGGCTCTGCAACTTACCTGGCTGCTTCTTGCTCCTCGTGGCCCAACTGTGGGCTGCTGGGAGCAGGGGGTGGGGCTTGTTGCATGTGCCCGCCCCCTGGGCTCCTTACTGCCGGAGCTCTGCTCCTGTGCGCTCCTGCAGGAAATGACCCCTGGGTATAGTAATAGAACAAAGTCTGAGTGGCACCTTTAAGACCAACTAAGTTTTATTCAAGGTATAAGCTTTCATGTGCAAGCACACTTCTTCAGATACAGCAAAACAGAATTTCTCAACTTGGGGGCGGGGGGGGTCAGTTGCCAGGAAGGACTAATTAGAGGCAAGTTGTATAAGTAACGTTGTATAAGTAACGGGGCCCTTATAGATGAGAATGGATAAAGGCAGCTGGTAAGATCTGTGAATGGCAGTAAATTAGCATACACATACAAGAGTTAACAAACAGACGTGAGAATGAAGTTTGAGTCCAGTGCTACCTCCAAAGTAACAAAGTTCAATTCTGGGTATAAGCAAGAGCTGAGACCTAGCACGCTCCTTCAGATACACTGAAACAGATTGCCTCAAGTATCGTATATGGGGGGGATGGGGGTTAGTTGCCAGGATGGGCTAATTCAAGATGCATAAGTAACTGAGCATTAGCAGTAAGTCATGTAAGCTTCCTTTAGGCAGATTCTGTCAGAAAAGGTAGCACAATGTTACAACACAGGGTGGAAGATTTGAGGGTGCTTTTACCTGTCAGATGAAACACTCTTCTCTTCCCAGGTTCATCAGGCACAATCTGTTGTACAATGGCTTCAGTGGAGGAGAAACGTTCCTCTAAGCCTCTTGAGGTGACTGAACTCTGGTTGACCTAGATTATTTGTGGGTCAGCATAATTGCGTTGTCCTCATTTGTGGAGCAACCTGTTCTTGACGTTCCCCGTTTCTATGCGACTTGTTGTGGTAGTGTGACCTGGGACTGGAAAACTTACGTCATAAAAGCATTCCCTGTCTTTGATAACACTTTGTACAGTTCTTATCATAAATAATCTTTGTAAAGTAGATCATTTCATTACAGAGGCCACTAGCTTGCATAATGGACCATCAAACTTGCACTCCCCAGGCTGAGGTCTACCCACAAACCACACTGGCTTTTGTTTATCTGATCTCCTTGCTGGAAAATATAATCTGGGCCCCGATCATACGTTAAATAAGAAGCGGCATACGTGCGATTCCCACGTGGATCAAAGGGGCACAATCAGATGGAAACATCTGCCCAGCGTCCTGGAGTCGTGGGGGGGGCGTCTCGTTGTACTGCAGGAGCGTGGAGAAAAGCCACTGGGGGAAAGGCTACCCATATCGGGAACGCCGGGGGGGGGGGACGGGCGGAAGTCTGATCGCGCAAACGTGCGTCGTTTCGGCCCGGGGCAAACAGCCTCGCTTCCCACCCACATTTTCTCGTGCATGTGACCACAGCCCTGGTGTTCTTCTTCGCGGATGAATAAAATTCAGGAAGGGAACACGTAAACTCTCATCAAAGTTCTAATGATTCCTGAGCTTGGGTCTGGTCATCAGGCTACATTAAGAAGAGAGAATATTTGTCTCCTTAATGCTCAGGTTTCTTTTACTTAGGTAGCCAGCTTGACTTTTTAAGAGTAATCGTTAACATCGTTCTGTAGTCACCAGTGGGGTTGCCCACAAATCTGACCTTAGAACTTGTCTTAACAGAACCATTAACTGTGTTTGGAAATAATGAGAGCAATTTGTTCATCCTCTGGATATTCTCTGCCTCTCTAGTGCTTTCTGCTTCCGTGCCATGAAGCATTAAGACAGGCGGCAGGCGGGGGAGAAGTCAGAGAGGAAGGAACAAGGCAACACAGCACGGATCTTACGACCTATGCCAGGCATAAAATGATGTAATATCAAATCGACCACTAAAGGAGGCAAAACAAGAGTGGAACAGAAGCCCCCCCCCCCCAAGTAACAGGAACATACAAGCGAGGCACATGAGAATGCGCAAAAGCGTCCTTTCTGTGCAGTGCTGTCTTCCACTAACCATTTAATCTGTCAGGTGTTGCTTTATTATTACTATTTTGCTTCTGCCCCACTTTCCAATGTTGAGCTCCTTTGTTACTGAGAGAATGCATGCATTAGCGGGTTCGCTAATGACACACGTTTTTGCATTGCTTGCTATTTTGCAACTGCTAATCCTGCCAACCTAGCAGTTCAAAAGCAAGAAATTGCAAGTAGATAAATAGGTACCACTTCAGTGGGAAGGTAACAGCATTCCGTGCGCCTCGGTGTTTAGTCATGCCGGCCATATGACCACGGAAACGTCTTTGGACAGCGCTGGCTCTTCGGCTTTGAAACGGAGATGAGCACCGCAACCCTAGAGTCGGATTCGACTGGCTTTTGAGCAAGGGAACCTTTACCTTTACCTTTAAGCTCAGAGAGAGGATCTGATTTGATTTTTTTTTGTAGTGTGTGTGTGGGGGACATGTGTTCACTTTCTGCTTCTTTTTTCTTTCAATTTTCACTTCAACTACGAAGCATTCTTCTAGTATGTTCTCTGTGTATGTACTCCGTTGTGTTGCCACCGTCCAGGCAGGGTCTGGAATTCTCCTATAATTACAACTGATCTCCAAACTACAAAGATCAGTTCCCCTGAAGAAAATGCAGCTTCAGATGACAGACTCTATGGTACACCATAGATCAGGGGTGTCGAACTCATTTGTCATAAGGGCCGGATCTGACATAAATGAGACCTTGTTGGGCCAGGCCATGTGTGTCATAAAATGTAATGCCAGGTAGTAGAGATATAAACTTTGTAAAGGACACACACACAGGGTGGTTTTTTTTACTTAAGATAAAAACATGCTTAAAACATTAGCACTCTTGCAATATTTTGTTTATTTAACAGTGTCTGATAACTGACACCTGTTGCTCTGAATTATTGCAGCTGTGTATCTGTAAGCTGCAAACCTACAATGATGGAGCAGCAGCAGAACTGGAAGTAGAAGCAGAAGACAGCCAGTTCCACTGCGGGCCTGATAGAAGCCCTCCAGGGGCCTGATCCGGCCCCCGGGCCGCATGTTTGACACCCCAGCCATAGATTCTAGGCGAACTATTTCCCCTGATTCCCCCCTCCACAGGCACCAGCCCCCAAATCTCCCAGACTTTCTCTGATTGGAGCTGGCAACCCTATTGGCTCAGGGCCTACCTATTTATCATAAAGTCCTTGTGGCATCCACATGTCCACCCCATTCTGTGGACCAGATATGTTCTGGGAGCTCAGTGCTCAGAACTTAATCCCCAGGCATGAAGGGGCCTAATTTAGATCAGGACAAATGGGCCTGGGAATTAAGTTTCAAGCATGGAATTCCCAGAGCACATCTGGCCAACAGGACTGGGGTAGATAACATGGGGCACACAAGGTCTTTGTAATGTATAGTTAGACTTTTTACAGTGGAGTTTTATACAGAGTTACTCCAGTTTATAATGGAGAGATGAAAGTGTGTCTCCTCCAGAAGAAGCCTGAAGGTTGCTTCTGTCTAAGTAACCCGAGGAAATATAATCAGTTTGGTGTGGTGGTTAAGTGTGTGGACTCTAATCTGGGAGAACCGGGTTTGATTCCCACTCCTCCACTTGCAGCTGCTGGATGACCTTGGGCAAGCCATAGTTCTGGCACAGCTGTTCTTGAATAAGGGCAGTTTCTCTCAGAGCTCTCTCAGCCCCACCTAACTCACAGGGTGTCTGTTGTGGGGAGGGGAAGGGAAAAGAGTTTGTAAACTGCTCTGAGACTCCAAGTGAAAGGCAGGGTATAAATCCAATCTCCTCCTCCTCCTCCTCCTCCTCCTCCTCCTCCTCCTCTTCTTCAACTGTAAAAAATGACTGTGATGCTAAAGCTGTGAAGACAGACTTCCTTCTGTACAGCTGTCTTTAATGGGACCTTGATGAAGCACAACATCATTATATCATTTCTGAAGGAAACCCAGAACTCACATCATGCTGCTGCGGGAATTTCTTGAAAGTTTTTTTTTAACCATTTATTTCCTGATGATTTCTAAAGAGACATGGTGTAACACCGTCATGCTGGTCTCTG